AGATGAAGGTTCTAGAGGGGAGGGGGGTGGGGGGGGTTAGCCTGGTAATGGGTATTTAAGAGGGCACATACTGAATGGAGCACTGGGTGTTATATGCAAACAATGAATCATGGAACACTACATCAAAAACTAATGATGTAATGTATGGTGACTAACAGAATAAAATTTAAAATTTTAGAAAAATTAAAAAATTATACCAATAACATCTAAATATCAAATACCCAGAAATAGGTCTAAAGATGTACAAGATTCTTATGAAAATTACAAAGTATTTAAGAAGAATTTTAAAGGACTTTAAAGAATTTAAGTAAATGTAAGAACACACCATATTCAAAGACTTGAAGATTCAGTATTATGAAGCTGTAAATCTTCACTAAATGATCTACAGATTGAATGAAATCACAACGAAAACAACAGCGTATTTTTGTAGAAAATTAAAAGGCTAGCATTAAAATGTTTATGGAAATGCAAAAGCAAAGAGCTAAGGAATCTTTAAGAAGCCAGTGAATACTGACAGCTATCAAGACTTAGTGTAAAGCTGTAGTAATTAAGACAGCAGGGTATGTATTTTATGGTATTGTCCATGAAAGAACACGGAGTCCAGAAGCCTACCCAGGATAATAAACACTTGATTTATGTCCAAGAGGACTTATCAGTTAAACAGAGCATGTATAGCCTTTTTCAATAAATGCTATGGGGCCAAATGAAAATCTCTATGTAAAAAGTGAATACTGACTGATTTCGTGTCACTTACATGAAAATTTTTGAGTGAGTTATAAATTGAACTTAATAAAATTCTTCTAGGAAATATTTTCCATGAGTTTGGGGTATGTTTAAATTTCTTCAACAGGACAAAAAGCACTAAACATAAAGGAAAATAAATGTAGAATTAAGAGTTTCTGTTAATCAAAAATAATATACCATCATAAAAAGTTTTTAAAAAAGGCACTAAGTGAAAAACAAAGAGCCTGATTCAAAATATATAAAGAATTCCTACAAATCAGTATAAAATACCTACCTAGTAGAAAAGTGGCCAAGAGCAATTCCTAACTGAGTGACCACTGAACATAGGAAAGTTGTTCAACTTTAGTAATCAGAAATGCAAACTAAAATTACAGTGAGATACCAATATCTACCCACAAAAATGGGTAGTATTAAAAAAGACAATTATAAGTATTGGTGAAGATGTGGAATGCTACAATTCTTACTCACTGGTGGAAGTGTAAACTGGTATGACTTTGGAAAACTTCTGGGTAGTAATTACTAACCTACTAAAGTTGGAAATCTACATGTCCTATGAGTCATCAATTTCTCTCTGAAATCTATATCCAACTGAAATGTATGCACAAAAGCATCAAGAGTAACGCACAAGAATGTTCATAGCCATATTCTATATGGCCATTAATTGAAAAAAAAATCCAAATATCCATCAACAGTGGATCACATTCACACAATGGAATACCATACAGCAAGGAGAATGAACTGCTGCACACTACAATGTAGATAAAACTCACCAACAAAATGTTAAACAAAAGATATTGGATATAAATATACATATTATTTTATATTAAGGTCAATGAGCAACAAACTATAATGTTTAGAGATACAGTCTAGGAGGCAAAAATATGGAGAAAAGCAGGAAGGCAATTATAGATATCATCACAGTAGTATCTAGGATAATGCAGTTTTAGTAATTAAGAGACTAGAATTATTCTGAGTGGCTGATTATGTGGATCTGTTTGCTTTGATGATCCTTTAATACTGCACTTCACTGTGTATATGTTATTTTTCAATTCTGAAAAGTTTAATTATTAAATTCCAGATGGGTTAAAATTTAGACTTAAAACTCAGACAATAAAAACTGCAAAAAAAACAAAAAACGGGGGTGGGGGGGCGGGTAGGTAAGGAACCTGGAAGATACAATCCATGTGTGTGAGACTTTCTTCATTACATGCAGGGAACTCTGTCTAAAACAAAAGCTAGACCTGTTTAATTGTATGAAGAGTTAAAACTTTGTTATCTTTTGTACAAAAGATTTGTAAATTGGGATGATAAGGAGTTAACATCTTACAATATACAAAGTGCAAGCATTAAAATTAGAAAATTCATAGAATTCAGTCAACATGTAGAATTGTTCAAATTCTCTAGTAATTAAGAAATTAAAATAATTTTTACCTCTTATACAGGCAAAAATGTTTAAAATTCTATAAAATGTACTAATGGTAAAGTAGGGAAAAGATATTCTCATACACTGTTGACGTTTCAGCTGTTTTAAAAGCAACATGGTTGGGGCACCTGGGTGGCTCAGTCGTTAAGTGTCTGCCTTCGGCTCAGGTCATGGTCCCAGGGTCCTGGGATCGAGCCCCGCATCGGGCACTCTGCTCAGCAGGAAGCCTGCTTTTCCCTCTCCCACTCTCCCTGCTTGTGTTCCCTCTCTCGGTATGTCTCTGTCAAATAAATAAAATCTTTAAAAAAAAAAATAAATAAAAACATGGTAACATCTATTCAAATTAAAAATACATTTTTCACCCAGCAACCTCGCTACTAAAAGGCTATCTCAGAGAAACAAATTTACCCCTATATAAGGATATACATGCAGATATTTATTACAGTCATCTTAAAGGTGGCAAAAAAATGCAAAGATAAAGGCCTATTAAAAGAGAAATTGCTGAAAACAAAATTAAAATACATCTGTGCTTTTTTAAAATCCTGCATACATTTAAAATAGAGCTACATTACTTCTTAGATTTCTGATACGCTAGGTCATAAAAGCAAAATGCAGAAAAATTGTATGTGATCTTTTTTCTAAAAGCATGTCATTGTATTTATGTTCACATAATTATATTCATTCATTCACTGAATTCTATGCACATGGAGAAAATCTGGACTATTATGACATACCTTAGGGCAGGGGTTAAAGAATTCTAGGAATGGAAAAAGGAAGGAGAACCCAAGCAAATGAAAAAAAAGAAAGTGCAGGAAAAACTATACTTAAGAATGAATAACACGGTCATATTTATTCACTTATGTTAAATTATATGGGAGGTATACGTAGAATATCAGGTTTCTTCAAAAGATGCTACCTTCTCTTTAGGCACCTGAATTTTTTTCCTTAAAAAAAAAAAAGTCTTAAAAAATTAAGAGAAGATAGTCCCAGAAAGATAAGTAAAGCTCAAAGGAATTTGAACTATAGAAATGACTGCCACTAGATGGCAGGAAAACCCTCCAAAAATTATAGAAACATTTTCTTAACTGCTAGAAAAACTTGCTTTTTATCTATAATCTTTACCTCATAAAAATAATCAAATTATATATGTATGTATACCATGGAATGAAGTTCCTTAAGACAGACTAACCCTTATGAATAAAGAAGTTAACACTAATACATAATTACCTATTTCCTAAATCATCTAGAAGTCATTCACATTTTTTTTTAAAAACTCATGAATAATGCCCTCAGAAGTTGACAAAATATTCAATTAGTATGTATTTATTTCACAACTATGTGTAAAACACGGAGGCAAACTGAAGGAAACATTTATTGGGTTTTTAATCAAGTAGAACAAAATGCAAAGTAAATGGAATGTTTACAAATAAACTAGTACAAACTAATGCATAGTGGCACATCAACTCTCTAGAATGCATATAGCCACAGAATTTAATATCCCAAACCAAATAAATGAATAAGCAAGCCATTAGGCAGATAAAACATGTCATACTTTTTCACTGAAACTCATACTTTACTCTACCAGGCCTTTTTACTCTTACTATACACCAAAATGTCTAATGATTCTTTATAAGTGGTTTAGAAGTTTTCCAGCTGTTCTACTTACTACCTCAAGGCTTAGTATAAAACAACTATTTTATTAAGTTTATGGACCCTGTAGTTTATGAATTTGTATATGATGAACATGATGGAGTTGGCTTGTTTCTGTACAATCAATACCCATGGCTTCAGCAAGGAAAACTCAAATGCGTGGGGTCTGGAACTGTTGACAGGACTCCTTACACATGGCCTCCCCATGTGGCTTGGGCTTCCTCACAACCTGGATGTGGTATCTGGATTTCTTGCATGATGGTCCAAGGCACCAGGTACAAGTGTTCCAGAAAAGGTGAAAGCTACATCACTGTTTTTGAACTAGCCTTGTAAGATCACATGGTATGACTTCTACTCTATGCTTTGGTCAAAGCACTCATAAGCCTACCCACTTCCAAGAGAAGGGTAATTTTACTCCCTCCCTTTCTTGAGCAGGACTAGCAAAGTCACAGTGGATGAAAGCTTAAATATTACTGTGACAATCTTTGGATAATAATGTATAACACAGTATGCCCTCTGGCCCCAATTCACGTCATTCCCATATGCAGAATTCACTACCCCCTTCCCTGCAAGACCTCCAAAGTCTCAATCCATGATGGCATCAGAATAGTCTCAGACCTCATCATCTAAATCAGGTCCAAGTGTAGATTAGGCTCCCCAGTAGTTGTTCCTCAAGTACAGTTCCTCTTGATCTGAAGACCTATGAAACAAAGTGGCATGTTAGCCCACACACATCCAACATATCACTGTGGGGCAAGCATAGAGTAACTTCTATAGGCACTCTCATTCGAAACAAAGAATCAGGAGGCATACAGTAATTGCTTGGAAAGCCTTCAAACTAAATTCTCCATTCATTAGGTACATTTTCATTTTTTCCATATTGTGGCAGTAGCAATTTTACTAGATATTCTTTTATTATATATAACAAAGATCTCCAGTCTCCTTTCCCCCAGCTTTCAACATTTTCCTCAACTTCCTTAAGGCCCTCACTGACAGCCTCCTTGAGGCTTGTCAGTTTCCTCTCTTCAAGGGACTTCCAGTTTCTGCCCACAATTCAGTCCAAAAGTTATGGCAGCATCTCACATCTGGTACCAAAGTTTGTTCCAGTTATTATTTCTATATAACTTATTCTAAAGCCCAGTGATAAAAATAATATTATGTCACAGATTCTATGAGACAGAAATTGGGACAAAACACAGCAGGGTTGGCTTATCTCTGTTCCACAATGTCTGGGCCTTAACTAGGGATATGCAAGTGGTAATACACTGGAATTAACAAGAAAAGAGCCTAAACAGAACCTTTCCACATGGCTTGAGTTTCCTCAGAGCATGGAAACCTTAAGGTCACTGGACTACTTACGTGGCAACTCATCATTAAGCAGGACAATTCTAGTGAACAAGTTAGTTACACAACCTTGTACAACCTAATCACACAAGTCAAGAAGCACCACTTCTCTGTACTCCTTGGAAAGGGAACGGGACAGTGTTGTAGCCATTTCTAAAAACTAAAATCTTCTATGCCAGTTTATCAAGAAATAAATGATGAAAACCAAAGTGCAACTGGTAATATGCGTAATGACAGGAGGGAGAAATAATGTTTGCACATGTGTTTTTGCTGCCCCTCAAAACCCTATTAAGATAAAATGGGGAAAAAATAACTTGGAAAAAATGCCACTTTGGGTTCCTCATCCACTGAGGAAATAGGTAAAGAAGAATTATGTATAGGGGCTGAGGTGCTTGATCCAGCTTATACTGGAGAAATAGAGTAGAAATTAAAACAAGAGGTCAGAGAACAATATGCCCAGAATCCAAGTGATTGTATTACCTTCAAGGGCTTCCTTATTGAATGGTCTAAGTTAATGAAAACTAGAGAATTCTTGTCTTGGCTTATAAGACTGATATCAGACTTGCCCTATTACAAACAGGACACAAAACAATATATAGAACTGTTTGCAGACATTGGACAGCCCTCATGAAGGGCTGTAATCCTTAAGAAAGAAGACATACATGGAAGAATGTCTATATTCATCCAAGTTCTCTCCCTAAGTAAATAATTTGAACCACAGTGCACGAAGGGAGGCCAAGCACAGAGCAGTAGTTTTACTCAATTAAGGATGCAGAAATCAAGGTTCAAGGCTATTTATGGTAGCTGGGATCTGGGCGCCACAGTTACAGCCACAGAGAATGAACCCCAAAGGTTTGCATGGTAACTCCTCAGGTCCTTAGCAACTCCTAGGCTGCAAATTTACAGGGTGAAGACTCTATAGTTAGTGTATCTGTGTTAAGAGAATGAAAACTGAGTAGAGTTTCTGGAAGTAACAAGGTGCTTGGGAGACTTTGCAGTTTGGGCCAAGCCAGAATATAAAGCACCCTGGAAAACAACCTGGGCATTCAGTTGAGACCCCAGAAAAGTTATCCAAAGAAGGATCAAGAATAAAGCATGAAGGGCGCCTGGGTGGCTCAGTTGGTTAAGTGACTGCCTTCAGCTCAGGTCATGATCCCAGGGTCCTGGTATTGAGCCCTGCATCGGGCTCCCTGCTCCGCGGGGAGCCTGCTTCTCCCTCTCCCACTCCCCCTGCTTGTGTTCCCTCTCTCGCTGTGTCT